CTGTAGGCTGGGCATCTGCCTCTGCCACGTTGTCCTCTCGAGGTCCTCATGACGGCGAAAAAGAAATCGTCACGGCGGCCGGTATTTCTTTTTCGTCCTCTCGAGGTCCTCATGACGGCGAAAAAGAAATCGTACGCGTCGAGGTATTTCTTTTTCGTCCTCTCGAGGTCCTCATGACGGCGAAAAAGAAATCGTGGCCCCGGAGCGGTATTTCTTTTTCGTCCTCTCGAGGACCTCATGACGGCGCGGCGGCTCTCCGTCGCCTCCGCGCCCCTACCCCGCTGCCGCTGCAGGGCGGCGCTGCAGCTCGTGCAGGCTGCCGCAGCGCCGCCCCGCAGCGGCAGCGGGGTAGGGGCGCGGAGGCGACGGAGAGCCGCCGCGCCGTCATGAGGTCCTCGAGAGGACGAAAAAGAAATACCGCTCCGGGGCCACGATTTCTTTTTCGCCGTCATGAGGACCTCGAGAGGACGAAAAAGAAATACCTCGACGCGTACGATTTCTTTTTCGCCGTCATGAGGACCTCGAGAGGACGAAAAAGAAATACCGGCCGCCGTGACGATTTCTTTTTCGCCGTCATGAGGACCTCGAGAGGACAACGTGGCAGAGGCGGACGAGCCTACAGGGCTCAAGCTCCTGGCGTGGGTCCTGGCGTAGGCGCGGGGACAGAAGGTCGAACACCGCGGGAGAGTGTCTAAGGACAGAGGTCAGACACAGTGTGCGTGTCCTCTCAAACACACCTCTCAAACAGTGCGTCTCCTCTGCAGTGCTAGTTGGGAGACGCGGGTGCGCACTCTCCTCGTCTAGACTGACGAGAGAGAGAGAGAGAGAGAGAGAGGGAGAGAGAGAGGGAGAGAGGGAGAGTAAGACCGCGTCTAGGCTGACGGGCCCGTCTCGCTCCTCGCAGGGCGGGAGCGTGCAGCACGCGTCGACGGCGGCCTGTCGTCAGGTCACTGGGTTTGGGTACCGGGTTTGGTAGGGTACTGCGGCACGCGCCCCGGCCGACGGATTGCCTGCGCGTGGAACGCCGCCAGCTCCTTTGTACGCCGCAAGCCCGCCGACTTCATCACCACGCGACACGCCGCCTCCACGTCGCCCGCAGCCTAGGACGTGTCTAGGAGGTGTCTAGGAGGTGTCTAGGACGTGTCTAGGAGGTGTGTGTCTAGGACGTGTCTAGGACGTGTCTAGGAGGTGTCTAGGACGTGTCTAGGAGGTGTCTAGGACGTGTCTAGGAGGTGTCTAGGAGGTGTCTAGGAGGTGTCTAGGAAGTGTCTAGGAGGTGTCTAGGACGTGTCTAGGAGGTGTCTAGGAGGTGTCTAGGAGGTGTCTAGGAGGTGTCTAGGAGGTGTCTAGGAGGTGTCTAGGAGGTGTCTAGGAGGTGTCTAGGAGGTGTCTAGGAGGTGTCTAGGACGTGTCTAGGAGGTGTCTAGGAGGTGTCTAGGAGGTGTCTAGGAGGTGTCTAGGAGGTGTCTAGGAGGTGTCTAGGAGGTGTCTAGGAGGTGTCTAGGAGGTGTCTAGGAGGTGTCTAGGAGGTGTCTAGGAAGTGTCTAGGAAGTGTCTAGGAAGTGTCCAGGAAGTGTCTAGGAGGTGTCTAGGAAGTGTCTAGGAAGTGTCTAGGAGGTGTCTAGGGAGGTGTCTAGGAAGTGTCTAGGAAGTGTCTAGGACGTGTCTAGGTCTAGGAGGTGTCTAGGAAGTGTCTAGGAGGTGTCTAGGAGGTGTCTAGGAAGTGTCTAGGGAGGTGTCTAGGAGGTGTCTAGGAAGTGTCTAGGACGCCTCGAACTTGCGCAGGATGAGCTGCTTGAGCTCCGGGTACTCCTCGGCCGCGTACAGCACCGGCGCGGTCGACAGGCCGAGAGACATGTCCTGCGGGGCCGAGGGGGCAGCCGAGGTGCAGCCGAGGTGAGGCCGAGGTACGGCCGAGGTACAGCCGAGGTACAGCCGAGAGACAGCCGAGGGATATGGGGAGAGATGGGGAGATGTTGTTCCTGCAGGCCGGGCTTGCCGAGCTGCTCGTCGGTGGCGGTGAAGTCGAGAAGGTCGTCGATGACCTGGAAGGCGAGCCCGACGTGGCGAGAGGTGGGGAGGGAGGGGGAGAGGT